ATAAATACATACATACATACACATATATATATATATCTATCTATCTGTGTGTGTGTTATTATATACATACATATATATATATATGGAGGGGCTACTGGGAAGCCTAGGCGCCAGCGGCCCGGGCGACGAGCGCGAGGCTGCGAAGGAGCCGAGGGCGTGCGCGCTCATCTGCCAGGCCGAGCCTTCCTGGTTTAGGGTTTAGGGCTTTGGGTTTAGGGGTTTAGGGTTTCGGGTTTAGGGTTTAGGGTTTAGGGTTTAGGGCTTTGGGTTTAGGGTTTGGGGGTTTAAAATTAGGGGTTTAGCGGTTTAGGGCTTAGGGTTTAGGGTTCAGGGCTTCGGGTTTAGGGCTTCGGGTTGAGGGTTTAGGGCCTTAAAAAAAGTAGTATAGGGGGGGTAGTATAGGGTTCTGTGTAGGGCTTCAAGGGTTTAGGGTTCAGGATTTTAAAGCCTGTTTCCACAGCATGATCTGTAGAGAGCCCCAGAGGGCTTAGGGCCTAGGCCTTCAGTTCAGGGTTTCTTGGGGTTTTTTCGGTTTACTTCATAGGGTATTGCAGGGTTCTTTGTAGCGCTCCATGGGCATTGCTAAAGGTTTTATACAGGCGCTCCTAAGGGGTCTTCCAAATCCATAGGAGCTCCTCGTGGAAGTTTTAGAGACTTTCATGGGTACTTGTCAGTATGCTTGTAGCTGCCTTCACGGGGTATATTTGTACTATTTACCGAACCATAACTTGACCTAAGAAGCTCCCTGATCCTCTCAGTCCTGCAGCGCGCCGAGCGCGGCATTCTGCAGTCCTTCAAAGACACGTCGGGCTCTTCGTGGCCCTGAACCCTAAACCCTAAACCCCTAAACCCCTAAACACTAAACTTGAGGGCTTCTGTCGGTCCTTCGTCGTCGAGGTCGGCGCAGTCGGCCCAGCACAAGGAGGCCCTGAGCTGAAGGCTCTCTTGCCAGGAGCGCCGCGCCGCCGAGCCGCGCAGCAACGCGGCGGCCAGGATGACATCGACGGAGTTTGGAGTGCTTCTTTGGGTGCTTTCCAGGGCTTTGAGGGAAGTTCTCCAGGGCGCCGAGGTCATTTTACCCAGGCGGGTGCTCACGGAGACTCGGTCCAGCTCGACCTGAAGAGATGCCATGGCTTCCAGGGTCTCCGTGCCTTTCTCCCAGGGATTCGCCACCAGCAGCGCATTCCAAGAGGCCACGTCGGGCTCGAGCGCTCCCAGAACCATGCCGGAAAGCATGGAAGAGACCAGGGACCAGGTGCTCATGGCGGCGGAATTGAAACAAATCAGATGTGGGCGAACTCCAGAAGTTCGCAGCCTTGCGACGAGCTGGATGCCTGCCAGCCACTGACTGGACTTGCTGAAGGTGGCCACGGAGGGTCCAACCGACGTTTCAGGCAGCACGCCATGTCTCTGCTTGCAGGTCTTGAGTAAGCCTGCGGCCAGCTGCCAATGCCTCCGGTCCGTCGCCAGGTTGCTGGCTGTGCCAGCCATGCAGGCTGTGGACAAGGCTGCAAAAGTGTCCGTGTCGGTTTGCAGCTGCGCTCGACGCACCTCGTCCAGAAGCGTGTGTGCAGAAGCCCATTGCAGGGCCTGAATAGCTGCAGATCCGGCCGTGCTGAACGCCACCATACCCCCTGAACGTCCGCGCCATCCCACCGGGAGCGTCGCAAGCAGTGCCAGGCAGAATCTCCAGGGACCTCCCCGAGCACAGGATGCTACACTCGTGCTGCTGGAGATCTCATCGCTTGGGACGGAGTCGCTCGACATCGCAAGCAGGACGTTTGCGGCGCTTTCCCACCTGGATGCGCTGAGGGATGACTTCATGACCAGGTTGTACATCAAGAGGTTAGTCTCTACGTCTTGATGTCTGGCTTCTCTCAATAAGCGCCCAGCCTGTTCCACATGTCCCTCATCAGCACAAAGGCCCAGAACGATGTTGTAGCTCGCCGCGTCTGGTTGGGGCCCCTGTTGCCTCATGGCAGAGAGCAGCTGGAGGCCCTGCTGGGACAGCCTTTCACGGCTGCAGGCAGAAAGCACGGCATTGCCGACGAAGATGCTCGGCGGCTCCATGGTGAGCAGTTGCGCCGCCTGCTGCCAGGCTCTCGGCCCCTCTTTCGCCGCAAGGCCCCGTGCGGCCGCCCCCAAAGCCACAGGCGACGGCTCGCCTCCTTGGCTGGCCCAGGCGTGGAGCCCTTGGAGCGCCGAGGCCCAGGAGGCTGCCCGGGCGCAGGCATCCACGGCGATGCCGTGAGCCACCAGAAGATTCTTTTCATGGGTGCCGGAGAGCTCACGACAGCCAAGCAGCTGGAGGGCCTGGCGCCAGCAGCTCTTCTTTCCTGCCGAGTTCGCGGCCACATTGTGGAGCACCCCCAACCTGCTGCCCTGGACGGTGCTCCTCTGGACCTCTGCAACATAATGAACAGCTTCCTTCCAGGAAGGCTGGCATGACATGAACTGCGCTTTGAGCCTTTGGCTGGCACAACACTAGGGCTTCATGCCATGCCATGCCATGCCATGCCATGCTATGCCATGCCACGCCGCGCCGTGCCGTGCCATTCCATGCTATGCTATGCCATGCCATGACATGCCACATGTACAATACATGGACCTACGTACCTACATGCCTAGGTGAAGGCATACATGTGTGCCTGCATACATACCTATGCACACATACATGCAGCATGCATGCTGGCAGACGGAGACACAGATAGATGGACTGACAAACAAACGGACGGACTGACGAATGTACGGACGGACAGACAGACAGACAGACAGACAGACAGAGAGAGAGAGACATCAGTTTATTTGCTTGCCATGTTATCTAATTTGTTGTTTGCCAACCACTTACTATCTAGTTATTGGTCTAGTTGCTTATCTATCATTCGTCTTTTGGTATACCAGCCACCAGCTTCTATCTGGGTCTATCTGGTAGTTGCCCGTTACAACTCGTTGAGTGACGCTTTCTTGAAGGGGCACAGAAAACTCCTAAAAAAAAATCAAGGTTTGAGATACCCAGTAATCCCCCTCTCTCAGCAAGCCAACAAAGTAGGAATATCTCACCCGAACCCCAAACCCCGAAACCCTAAAAATCGCTTGTCTTCTACATTTGGAGCCTCTGCAAGCACTGAGCACGAGGCTCGTGGCCGCTCCGCCGGCGGAGAGACGGGCCTGGCAGAAAAGGTTCGAGGGCTTTTTCAATAGGGTTTAGGGTTTAGGGTGTATGTCTAGGCTTTAACGCCTAAGGGGTTTAGGAATGTGGCTTAGGTCTCACAACACGTGGTATGAGCATGGTGTGGCAGCATGTGTTACTGTTTTCAAAGCATGCCTTAACAACGTCACAACAACTAAACTTCACAGTTCATGGTTAAGCGCTTCGGCCTGGGCTTAAAGGCTCAAAGCTTACCAGTCTAGGCGCTTTTTCCCAAAAAAAGGGTGCCCAGGGCCCAGGAGACCACATCAACACAAGGAGCTCTCACATCAAGCTTGATGAAGTCCCACCTAGATGGACCCCTTGTGGCCCAGAGGCCCCTCGAATTACTGCGTGGTCGGATCCTCGCGTTTATGTGCTGTCGAAGTTCGTGGCGAGCCTTGACGGGCCGTTGAGGAGGACGCCTGGTCTTGACACCTTCCGGTGTCCTCTCCTCCAGGGAAGCGAAGGTTCATAAAGCAATAACTGCCTTATACTGCCTTCACGGTGCGAGACTCGGTGACTGCCTGGCCTCTGGAACTTCTACTTTGGGTCGCTCTGGTGAGGACTTTGCCTCCAAGGCCTTGGATTTGAAAAGTCTGCGTCACAAGAGCTCAAAAGGACAAGAGGGCTTTGCTCGACAAGGGCGCGGACCTTGCACGGAAGCCGTATCCTTCCGCCCCCTTCGGGCCAGAGGGAGGAAGGGGTCGCTGGACGCGGCTCTGCGGACTCCGTGGGCTCCGCGGGCTCCGTGAGCTCTGCGCGCAGCCGCGCGCTCGAGGGCGCCCAGCTGGGGCGCACGGGGCTCTGGCGCACGGGGCTCTGGCGCGCGGGGCTGGGACTCGCATGTCGGGGCGGATCGGACCAGCGAACGGGCGCAGGTGCTTGGAGGGTCCAGGGAGGCGCTGGCACATGGACAGCTTGCAGAAGCCTCGGCTCCCTTGGGATGGTCACGGGCTCCATCGGAATCGACTTGCAGCTCGCCGATGGGCGAATCGATGCAGGCTTGGAGCCTCAAGGAAAGGCGTCTATCAGGATCTGTTTCTGAACTTTTCCAAACTACCATCGTCCTTCCGAGTGGCAGAAATACCCCGGCATCCGAGCTGCTTCATAGCCCCGCCTTGCAAGCAGCGGCCAATCAAGCTCTACCCGACTTCGTAAGCGTTGCTATCATTTACAGGCCGACATACCTGTCGATACCTAGAGATTGGGGATCAGGGTTGAAGGCTCAAGGGCCAGGGGTTTGGGGAGTTTGGGATTTGGGGCCAAACCCGGTCGTAGGCTTCAGACTGGGCCGCGAAGCCGTCCGGGCTCATGGGGGCCATCGCGACGTGGAGTGCCATGAGGCTTCCCTGTGCTTGGGCTTTGGGGCTGAGGCTAAGGGTTCAGGGCTCAAGGCTCAGCTCATGTGGCGCTGAAAAAGCTCCGAGGAACTGCGAGGTTCAAGGATGCTGGGCTCAATGGGGCGAACCGCACAAAAGTTCGACTGCAGATGTCGGACCTATCTAGTTCGACTATCAGGATCTGCAACCACGTCCCCTCGAAGTGCTGCGAGGTGTCTGCATGTCCTCAATAGCTTACGCATTGCAGCGCTTCATAAGGAGGTGCGGCAAACTCTGTGCTCCGTGCCGTTCCCTTCCTCTGTCCCCTGTCTTCGAGCCCAAGCGGTGCAAACAAGATCCATCACGATTCCCACCGAGAGTAGGACCAAAGGCTGGCAACACGAAAACTGTAATGAAGTGCTGCGCGGCCCTACAGTCTTCGAAACCCATGAGAAGCATCGCCCTTCTTTCGGATCTGCGGGCTCACCGCATCGCATCCGAAGTCTCCGAAACGCGAAGGTCACGCACCAAGCAGAGGACGAGCTGCTTGCTGATCCTGTCCTGCACGGCTACGGCATAGGGTATAGTGTTAGCGGCGTGGGATGTTGCAGCTATCATCATGCTACACGAGGTCTTCAGGGTAGTCGCATGCGTCTGAGAATCCCCTCCTTTCCACTCTCCAGCTTCACCTGGCAGGAAGGCCAGTGATGGCTACCCTCCAAGGCCACTGACCCGAGCCTTTCTCTGCCAGAGTCTGGGAACCACCAGCACAGGCGGAACACCGTCCTCAGCACAGTGCCCCTAAGACGGAGCTTGCAAAAAGGAAGGCCACAAAATACCATGCACAGGTACAGCATCATGCAACTACAGTCAGGATTTTACAGTTCGGATATGAGATAGTAAGCAAAGGGACCCACTTCAACAAGGATCGAGAACTGTCTGAAATCTTAATTCTCAGACCGCTTTGCTTACGTGGCCCTGTGGGGCCCTCATCCGCAGACTGACTTCCGAGCCCAGGCACCAGGTGCTCCTGCGGCACGAGGCAGTGGATGAATCCACCGGCCGTGCAACTTCCCCCCTATAAACTGTATGTTCTGCTTTTGTCATAGTATATAAGTATTATATAAGTCATCATGCACGCGCGCACACGCACACGCACACGCACACGCACACGCACACGCACATGCACACGCACACGCACACGCACACGCACATGCATCCACCCACCCACCCACCCACCCACCCACCCACCCACCCCCCCGCCCACC